CTAGTGTGTATTGATTTCCTTCTATGGGTTCTATTAGTCTATTTTAATTTTAAAGTATGAATAAAAAGTTTAAAACGTACCTGCAAGTACAAAATAAGAAACACATTTCTTTCATGAAATTGAGATTAAGATGCTGATTATGGAGTGCTACCATTAATAGCGAAAGGCACATGACAAAATCGCTTGGTTACCAGTCTGTGTGGTAGTTGTTGGTACCATGCTTGGGACCAATGAAGCAAAGGAACAAGAAAAAGGTGCCATTTTGCAATAGTGCTATTGGACACAAAGCCATCATGAAAGATGTTTATACAAGCAATAGAATTCTAACGACTGATAAGTAAAAAAATCATTTCCTGTGAATTTATGAATAAACAGATATTAGTATTACTCAGTTAATAAAACTGATTAGAATTATTGAAAAGAAATGCTTGGAAGCACATCATTTATTCTGCAAGGAAGTACCAAATAAAACTCCTGCATATGAAGTATTGAAAGTGATAAAATATTGAAACCCTGAAACGAATAAAATATTACAATTCTATTGGGATCTGTGTACTGATTGTATGGCTGCAATGACAGGAAAGTGTAACATTATATATTTCAATAAAAGAAAGGAAAGAGGTATAGATTCAAAGGATAACTGCGCCTTGGAAGCATAATTTAAATGTATCAAACCACCCAGGGTAGTTGCAAGACAGATTTTATCAGGAAAAAAGTGATCAACACCCTGCCATTTGCTACCACTTACTTGTGTGAACAAAGTTTCTTATTGATGGTGGAAACAAAGTTTCTTATTAGTAAGTTTCTTATTATCTATTCTCATCCAACAATTCGATGAGATAGATCATTGTTTAAAAGTCTTGATTAGACACTTTAAATGTAAAATCTGTTTTAAAATAAATATCTCACAGAAGCCAGCTCAAGTTTCTCCTTGAAAATTTAGAAAAGTATTTGGAATATTTATATAAATTAAATGTTTAGTGCTTCCATAATACTTTGTATTTTAATTTTAAAAAGGAATACAGTTTTCCACAAAACTTATACCACCATTCTTGAATCCCCTCCAGTTTGCCCCCATGTAGAAACAATGTGAAAAATTGGGGGAGCATTGGCCTTCAAGTTTGGAACCCAACCCTCTGGTCTTGAGAGCAAAGGTGAGGACTTCTCTTTGTGAATTTGAGTAGGAGGAAAAATAAAGGCAATAATGTTAACCATTGTGGACTCCAGACCCTTCCTCAGTTTTCTAGTGGTAGAGAGAGCCCAAGTGATGACTGAAATTGACCTTACCTTTTATAGGTCGGTCACTGTGGGGGACTCAGTGAGCAGATTTAATTTGATTTAGGTAAATGAACACTACATTATCATGGTGGCATGAGATAAAGTGCAGGTGGATTGCAGGGCAACAGGAAGTCAAGTGCTCTGGTGACAATGGTGATTTTACGGATGATGGAGCCAGCTGGCTTCTTTGGACAGGTTTGAAGGCATGCAGGAGAGAAAGACAAATTGAAAACTGTGAATATATCGTTGAGAACAAAGTGGGCAATCAGTAAGCCTTCATGGCAGGAGGAATCCCTCATTTCTTGCAGTTCCAGGGAAGAAATAAATGAAAATGAAGTTTAGTGCTTCCTGCTAAGTGCTACAGTTGTGCAGGACTGATTAATCACTTAACCTGCCAGGTCTGTTATGCCGAAGTCAGGGCACTGATGGGGAAGGCGTCGACTCTGAGACACCATATGTGGACATTTGATCAGACACATATGAATGGAAAACTTTGAACCTTCATGTGCCCTTGAGTCTCCATTGACAACCAAGGTAGACAATCATTCTCCTTTCCCACTGTATGTGAAGCATTTCAGTGTCTGCCCCTGAGCCAAGTTGCCCATAGGCTGATACGACATCTCCTCATGACCCGCATAGAGCACCGACAGGGAATTTACAAAGCTGCTGTGAAAGGAAATGGCCTAAACTCCAAAAAGGTAAAGAAACTTGCCAGCTGGGTGGTGCTCATGGAAATACATTGTAAATGTATTCGACCAAGATTGGGCTGAATTTGTCAACAGGGGTGGGCCCAATTAGGATTTGGGATGCAATTAATTGATTTGAGTGCCTAGAGGGGATGTTAGTTAATTGTCTGCTAGGTTGACTAATGGAAGCTTAGATATGGTGGTGGTTTGCAGCCAGTAAGTCTGAAATACCAACATTTCTTTGACATAATATAATGATCCTTAAACTTGGAGTTTTAAAAAAACACTGATGTTTGAGTGACCCCTTGGAGATGCTTATTTAAGTGGTTTGTGTTGCCATGTGGAAAGAGGGTTTTAAAGAATATCCTTAGGTGGCCAGGCATGGTGGCTCACACCTGTAATCCCAGCATGTTGCGAGGCAGGCGGATCACGAGGTTAGGAGATGGAGACCATCACGGCTAACATGGTGAAATCCCATCTCTACTATAAATACATAAAAAATTAGCCAGGTATACACGTGGTGGTGAGTGCCTGTAGTCCCAGCTACTCGGGAGGCTGAGGCCCGAGAATTGCTTGAATCTGGGAGGCAAAGGTTTCAGTGAGCTGAGATGGCACCACTGCACTCTAGCCTGGGTGACAGAGCGAGATGCTGTCTCAAAAAACAGAAAAAAAAAAAAAAAAAAAGAATATCCTTACATGATTTTCACATGTAGCTAAGGTTGAGTGATTTCTGTACAGGAAACTCAGTAATGAGGATGTTGGAGTACATCTATTATGTGCAGTCCATACAGTGTCCATTAATCACACACCTCAGGATGACCAAGGGACTAAGAAGAATCGTATTGGTGAGGGGCACACCAGCATCTGGGAGGGCTCACTGTTAGCTTCCCTCTCTAGGCTGGAGGTGGTGTGGGTGCTGCAATAGGTTTTCAGCTCAGATGGGAATTAACAGGATTGCAGAGTGGAAGAGGCCAGATGGTGGTACCTCTCATCATAAACAAGGTGAGTGAAGTGATCACAGTAAACAACAGGGGCAGGATAGTAACCAGAGTGTTTTGAACTTCAGGACCCTGTGGCAATAAAAAATTTATCTCAGGGTCTGTAGAAAGGAAATACATGGAAAAGCTTCTAAGGGGCTGCTTAACACATATGGGAAGAAGGTTTTCAGGTGTGGTGTACAGAAAACTTAAATTGCTGTAGTGGAAATGTGTGGCTTTTTACCCAGTTTCCAGGTCTAAGGAAGATCAAAGCTATGGATTCCTTTGACTAAGATGAAGGCCAGGTCCGTTTGAGGAGGAACTTTGCATAGTCACATGTTATGGTCTGAATTGTGCCCCCTCTTCATTCATATGTTGATACCCTAACCCCTAATGTGACTACTCGGAAATAGGGCCTTTCAAGAGGTAATTAAGGTAAAATGAGGTCATAAGAGTGGGTCCCTAATCCAATATGACCTTATAATGCAAGGAAGAGACACCAGGGATGTACACAGGGTCATGTGAGAACAGAGAGAAGGTGGCCACCTGTGAGCCAAGGAGAGAGCCCTTAGGAGACACCAAACCTGTCAACACCTTGATCTTGGACTTCCAGCCTCCAGAATGGTGAGAAATGAAATTCTGTTCTTTAAGCCACCAAGCCTGTGATATTTTGTTATGGCAGCCTGGGCAGGCTAATACATGGTGACTGGCATACAGTAAGAATCTTTCCCCAAGCCTTGCCCAGACATCTTAATGGCCATTTATCAGGGCTGCGCACTGGGAGAGTGAAATCGTATCTGGGGTTTTCAGATACTGGTTCTGTATTTATGGAAATCTCCAGGGGCAAAAAAAAAAAAAAAATGCCAAAATGGTCCATCAATCACAGCAGAGGATGATAAAGCACAGGAGACAGAGGGACCCTGGGTCTGATTTTGTCTGAAGAGGCAGCCTGAGATTGTTTCTGAGGGCTCAATATGTACAGTGAGACAAGATAAATTTAGTGACTGGCAGCATGTCCACATTGGGTTCCTCCTTATAAAGTGGAAGTTGTTATGGAGAGAGGATTAAGGGGAAGCCCCTAGAATTTCTCCTGACCCTCTGCCAAGATGATAAACCAGAAGCCCAAAGCAAAACTCCATCTGTGGGGGAGTGACTAGAGTTAGCGTCCCATCACAGACTTGAAAGATGTTAGGGTGTTAATGTCATAGCCCCACTGAATTTGCCCCTTTGCTGCTGCAGATACTACATGGTTTGTGGAGAATGCCAGTAGATCATTACAATTGTTTTCAATTTTTTTTTGTTATTTTATTTTAGATTCAAGGAGCACACGTGCAGGTTTGTTACATGGGTATATCGCATAATGGTGAGGTTTGGGCTTCTAGTGTACCCATCACCGAAATAGTGAGCATTGTACCAAACAGGTGATTTTTCAACTCTTGCTCCTTTCCTCTTCTCCCACCCCGCTCCATTGTGGAATTTTCAGTGTCTGTTATTTCCATCTTTATGTCCATATGCCCCCATTGTTTAGCTCCCACTTATAAATGAGAGTGTGCTGCATTTGATTTCATATAAATTGGCAGAAAGGGTTCACTTTACTGGCTGGGCTGATTGATCCTAATTACTCAGGGGAAAGCTGTATTGCTGCTAGAGGTAAATAGGACTATGTTTGGGGCCCAGAAGTTCCTCTGGAGCGTGTCTTTTACTCTGGGGAATCTCTTGCTTCTCCTGTGTCTGGTAGTTTCAGTCAATGGGAAATTGAAGCATCCAATAAAGAAGAACACTGAGGATCTGGATTGCACAGAAATGGAGGCTTGACTCTCCCGTAAGGTGAAGAACAGCATCCAGCGAGGTGCTGGCAGAGGGTAAGGGGAACATGGGGTGGGTGGTAGAAGAGGGAAGCTATGATTACCAAACTTGGCTTTGGTGAGTAACTACAGAATCAAGGAGTAGAGATTTACTATTTAACTGTTTTCTTCCTATCCCTGCCTTTTCCTCTAACCACCTTACTTGAGTAACACTGGGAGTGGCTTTAAGAAGTTTCAAATAGGAGTATGATTACATTGACCTAATGTGATGATTCAGAATTTCACCTGTGGGAGGGAACACAAATTTCTTACTCAGGAAAAAAAGAAATATGGATCTGAGGGGCAAGAGGCATGGACTATGCTGGGTAACTTCCAACTGCCCTTCCAAATCTGCTCTCCATGCTTCACTCCTGGCTGTCTGCCCAGGAGGCTGACCTACATTCATGGGCTTCCTTGCCTTCTGGTTTCTGGTTGCCATTGGCTTCTGGGTTTGGCCAAGGGGGAGTGCTGAAAGGAACTTGGAGAATGACAAGTGTCATATCAGGTTCAAGTCAGCATACTTGTGCTAACTCGAATGGGAGTGGAGGTGAGGGAAAGAGGTTTCACAGTGACTCAGTGGCCAATTAGTTGCTTAGGAATTAATGGCTTATTGCAAGGCTTTCATATACTAACAATCATGCAAATATCTTTTGCAGGGGAACTGGGGAGAGGTGGTTGTCGCTGCTCTTTTCCCAGTGGGCCTCCTGGTGATGATGCCAGATGGAAAAGAGGACTCGGAATTCTCATGAGCAGAGCTTCTGCAGGTGTCTCGCCATGGCCTGTTTCTCTGTGGTTTTTAAGGCCCTCCACAGGAGTGTACGTAGCCATGATCCCCACACCCTTTGGCTTTGCTTTTCATTCAGTCTTGGACTGAGTGCCTGACCACAGCAGGTATAACATTTACCCTCAGATGCATGCATTTATCACTTTGAGGGGTCAGCAATTTCACTGTAGGCTGAGTCACTTGTCACAGGTGATTCTATTTTGAGACATTTAGGATCACAAAACATACATTATTATATATCAGGAAGAAAATGAGGTCAGGGTATTTGCTACATAATGACATTTCAGTGTGCATAGATGATGGTGGCTCCATAAGATTATAATGCCATATTTTTACTGTATTCTTTCTATGTTTAGATATGTTTAAATACACAAAGCACTACCGTTCTGTTACATTTGCCTCAAGTATTCAGTATAGTATTGAGGAAGGAGACCTAAGCATCTAAGACCACTCCCCCCTTGACTTCCACACTGCATTTCAATAGGAGAAGTAAAGGCTGGCAGACCAGGTGCCACCTTAATAGCCCCCCTATAGATCGCAGGCATGGTGCGGAGGAATCTTTCCAGAAGGCATTGTTTTTACTTAAACAGGATCAAACCCCCACCCCACGCCTACTTCACGGACCAAGATCCTTTCACATGTAATTTCTAAAGTTGTAAGCCCAAGACCCTTTCACATGTAATTTCTAGAGTTGTACACCTTTAAAAGGGCAGGGACTTTCTTTGTGTGCTCAAGCTTGGCTGTTAGGCAACTATGCCGCCTTGCTCCTGGCCGAATAAATCACCCCTTTCTTCCCAGTTGGGTATTTGAGAGGTTTATTTCTTGCTGCCCTTCCTGCTTTAGTATCATGCTGTACAGGTTTGTACAGGAGCAATAGGCTATGCAATGTAGCCTAGGCGTGCAGTAGGCTGTGCCATCTAGATTTGTGTAAATACGCTCTATGATGTTTGCACTATGAAACGTCATTAAGCCATTCATGACTATGTGCCCTTGTTCCTTTCTTATGAGGTCACTGCAGGCTATTTCGTGATGAAGGTCACAGATCCTATTAAGTGGTCCTATTCTCTCTCTCTCTCTCTCTGGGTGCTAGTAACCACTTCCTCCTCTTGTCTTTTCAGGCCTAGGGGTGGCCAGAGGTATACCCCACTTTTAGTAGCCTGAGGTTCTGTACTATGCCTTGGGATTTTCCTGTACTCTACCCCTATCTTTATAGATAACTCCTTCATTACATTTACCTCCAATTGCCAAATTTGAATGTGTCATCTGTTTTTTGTTAGGACCCCGACTGACACAGCATGACTCCCAAGTTGGCTCAAACAGACCAGAAAGACTTTGATAGTTGCAGGAGAGACATTCCTTTCTTTCTACAAGATGTGAATGACTGAGCGCACAGTGTTGATTGACACGGGCAGCCATCTTATGGCCTTGGAGAAACCTGACCTTAAGTTAAGAATTAAACTTAAGGCCAGAGAGAATTAAAAAAAATGCTGACCCTTGCTGACCTCATAGAATTATCAGATCAGCAACTCTGATAATCAATAATTCTGGACTTCCAATTATGTAACCTAGTAAATATTTTTATTGTTTTAGCCACTTTGAATAGAATTTTTCAGAAAATAACTTAATTGATAGACTCTTATAAGTACAGGTATGGGATCAAGGGTACACCCATTAAAATGTTTAATCGCCTCTGCAAAATTTCTTTCCAAAAAGTCTGCAATGAATGATTCACGCAGCCATCCATGTGGTGAATGAATCTATTTCTTCACAGTATTGCCTACCATCTTTTTAATCTGTGCCTTCCTGAGAATCTCAGTATTGCTTTGATTTGCATCTTGCTAATTACCAGTGTGGTTTACTATAACTACTTACATTTATTCGACACTTATATTTTCTACTTAGTGAAATACTTTTTGTGACAATTGCTCATTTTTCTGTGGAATTAATTGCACTTTTCCTACTTCTTAGTAAGAATTATTTACAAACTTTGGATATTATTTGTTAGATGTGTTGCAAATGTTTTCTCTTGGATAGTCTGTCTTTTAAAATTCATTTCATGATGTGTTTTGTCCGAAATTCTAAAATGTGGATGACATTCAATTTATGATCCTCTTTTTTCATGGATTTTGCATTTTGTATGATTTGGGGCAAGGAAGTCTAAGGGTTCTCTGTCATTTGGCTCTTTGTCCAGGAATTTCAAACTCTAGGCATTGAACCTAGACCCCTTCCTTAAGTGTTGCACTATAGGCTGTCTGATCAATGCTTTTTATTGTCTTAGTTCTGTGTTGTTGTTGCACATAAATGACAATTTAACCAATACTTGTTTTAAATTTAGAGAAATATACCTTTACAATAGTCCTATATGGTTTGGTTCTTTTTTCTTTACTCTTTTAATGTTTCTATTTATTACTGCCACTTTAATGAGTAGCTTTGGGGTTATTTTTGTTACTCTGTCCTTCATTTTCACATGAGGAAAGGAAGCTGTTAAATTGCATGTTGGCCCATGTGCTAAAGTCTGGGATTTTGTGGAAACCAGCTTCAGGAAGATGTAATGGATTAGCTCACAGGAAGCAAGTCTTCAATGGGCTTCGGCTTTGTGGAGGAGCAGAGGCTTTGGGCCATGTCCAAGCACATCATTCCATCTACATTGGGTAAAGGCTTTAGACAGAGGCTATGCCAAGAGTTTCCCTGGCATTTTCACAAGTCTACTGGAGTACAAATTACTCCACACTGGCCTCTGTAGTTCATGGTACACACCATGTTGCCCCACCAGTTTAATTGAAGTGAATGCCAACTTCTTTCCAGTGGCAATCCTCAGGCCAGATTGCCAGCCTACTTGTAGGGAGCCCTCGATAGGTCATAAGCCACATGGCTTTGGCCCCCTGTAGAGCCCCCAAGGAAGACCTATGACTCCAACAGACAGGTCTGGATTTGGAATTGGGGTTATAGATTCTAAGTTTAGTTCTACTACAAAGTTGATTTTTTATGGTTGGCAAAGGTAGGAACTGATAACTTTTACTGCTCCATATGGCTCCCTCTGCTTTGCTATGATTGTCTGCCTGGTTTCATGAATAAGGTGTTGTAGAGGTTGAGCATCTAACAACAGATTATAGAGATTGTAGTGGGTCAATAATCAAGTTCTCTTACCCTACCTGCATTTCACTGATGTTACCTCAACTTAATAAGGTCATGAGCATGTTAAGAGAACAAACTAGCTAGCAGGGCTTATTACCAAATGAATGTAGATTGACAGTGTCATAAAGCTTGGAAACTAGAATCTGGACTAAGTGTTTTCTTACAATCATTTTCATAACTAGGAAATTTGGCCTTGTCAGTACTTATGGTAATTACATTCAAGCCACACTTACTGATAAACATCATTGTCATTGTTCCTTATGATAGTAAATCATTGATAGTAAATAAAACAATCAATGATAATAAAATATAGCAACACTCTGTCCTTTACTTTTTATAACCAGAATCAATATTGATGGTTTTCTGAAGTACAGCCAGGGTATCATGTAATCATAACACCTGTCCCTTCCACTTTTAGATAAAAGTTCTGGGCCATTTCTTCAGTAGATGTGCTCTCTGCTCTTTACTGATCAGCCGTGGTGATTCGGTTCTCCCCTGTTATCATCATCACTCCTATTCCCTGCAATTTCTCTGGCACTTATTCACACTAACAAACTGTGGACTTCAGGATGGTTGCTGAGTGCTGGAAATTCTAGGAAGGGCTGGATTCTCTGAGTGCCTGGAAGCTGTTGAAGGGTCAGGACCAAGTGGAATAGAAGGCTGAGGCTGAAAAGGACACATGTCAGCCTATTATATAGGTTTTTGCAACCTTCATCTGGGCATGGGAAGTTCTGGCTATACCCACAGGCTTTTGAATCAAAGAAAATTCAGCTGTTTGAGTTGTGTTCCTTGGATGCTCTGAGCATCTTCTTGTTGACCCCTCCCCTCCACCTTCACACACCAAGCATCCACCAGACTGCACTCTCTTTTCAGAGGTCTGAGCAACATTTTGCTGAGAACCCCCCCATCCCTGACTCATATCTGGAGATAAGTCCTACAAAAGCCCTCCTTTGAGACCCTAGGTTATTTTGTTTCCTTTTGTTTCTTTCCTGTCGTTGTTATTATCCGGGATACCACAGCAATCCCTTAATCTTCTTTGGCCTTCCAACATGCATGTACCCAGGTCCTTTTATTCAATTCCCTTTGTTTGCAATCCTAGCATGGATTCTGCTTTCAGAGAGTTCTCCATTGGAAACTCAGGCTTAAGGGATTTTCGGGGGTCAAATAATGGGGATGTTGCATGCTGTTTTGTGGTGAGCATCCCAAGAAAGGGAATATGTTGACTGATGCATAGTGGAGGGGATCTTTAAGTGGGCAGAGGCGATGCAAGTGAGGTGGCAGTGGCTCAGGCTGACTTTGAACAAAGGTGCACCTGACATTACCACACCCTCTCCTAGGGTCACGCTATAAGCCAAAAGTGATAGGATTGGGGCCACGGCAGGAAAGGATTGTGTTCTTCCAATAGCAGAAGATGGGGGTGGAAAGTAAGAGATGTTGAGTCAGGAGACTGTTTCCAGGGCTGGAAAGAGGGGCTCATGGATGAGCTTGTCTAGAAGATTCTGTCTCATTCTTTGTACTTTTTTTCCTTATAGACAGGTGAACCTGAAGCTGTTGGTGCTTCAAGTCTGTCTCCTAAAACTCACTTCACTCTAGCTAACTTGTACCTCAGCAATTTTTTAGGCTTGACTATAGCAGATAAGATGGGGTGTATAAACAGGATATAAAAATAACCATTACCACTGATCAGGAATCTAGAAATATCCTGCATACTACTAGGGCAAAGGGTGGGGGAGAAACTGGCACCTGGGGCTCGGATTTGGGAGAAATCACTGCCCAACTCTTTACTTCCTTAGGCAGCTCTGGAGTCCACTGCATTTTGGGGGTACCTGAGACCAGGCTTTCCTCAGTTAAAAGACAAGTCTACATAGTCCCTGTGGCTCCCCATGTTGATGGAGCTGAAAGAGTATTAGGTAGGGGAGCCGCACTGCCTGGCTCTCCATTCACATGCAGCCTTAGGTAGGGTATTTGGGAAATGCCATAGGGATCTTATCTGAGACATGTGGGTAATTTTGCTCTCACAGGATGCCTGTAGCCTGACTGCAGAGTGCAAGGCTCCCAGTCTCAGGAGATGGATTCCCTGACATGAGGGTGCCTGGCATTTCCAGTCCTAGCCCCAGAATGACATGGCAGAAGAGCCGAACTCCGGGGAATTCCCTTAGTCTCCCCTTTCTGAGAAACCTAGGATCTGTCATCAATCTCATTTCCTTGTGGTTGAATTTATGTGGGTTGGCTCAAGACTTATTTCTCAGGGAGCCCAGATGGGTCATACCTGTGCTATTTCTGTGATTTCGTATGCCCCACCCAGGAAGCTGGGGCCTCCCTCTCTGCTCAGATAAATAACCCAGGCTCCTTTAGAGCCTGTCACTGCCCTTGGAAGCTGCTGGAGCCACGATTCCGTCCCCTGGACTGTAAATAAAGGCCCTTTTTTTTGCCAGGTATAGTTAATAGCTGGCTCCTCCTCCACCCTCTGGAGCCTTTCCTCTTGTCTGTGCTTTGGGGCTCAATGAAGAGAAGGGCCACTTCAGGCTGGCTCTATGCCTTGTCCTGTGTGGCGCTGCTTCTCACTGGGGAGTTGCTGGGATGCTGGCAGAGCAGCTCTGGCATGGGACTCTCTCCTGTTCCTAGGCAAAAACAATGCTGATGGAGGGGTAGAGGCTTCAGAGAAAAGGAGACATGGGCATCAGGTGCCTGTGAGTTATTTGAGGTCAAATTTTATGCTTGGCTTTTGCGCTCGTAGGGGAGACACTATGATGCTAATTGGATTTCGGGGTGGAGGAAAATTTTACCTGCTCTCCCTTTGCTGATGCTTCCTTTAAGTTTTGTCCCAGATGTGACTCAGAACTTCTGACCAGAGCTTTGTGTCAGGCCAGGTTTCCCAGCTCCCTGTCTAGAATGAGGGCCCGAGGAGCTTGTGTCCTGGAAGGTCTTGGAAACATCTCCCATGTTTCATCTCTCCTATGTCTGCCTCACAGGTGCTGAGACAACCACGCTATGAGAGGCACTCTGGGACACCCTGGCGATGAAGGAAAGGTCACCCAACAAGCAGGTGCTGTTGGGATGGGGCTCTGGAGGCCAAGGCCCTCTGCACTCAGCTGTCTCCTGTGGAAGCCCCAGGCTTCTCTGCTCCTCTCAGTGCACTGACCTTCCCACCTGGTGCTGCCCACCTACCACTGGACCCTGGGCTTCTGGGGAGGGGGGGCTATTGCTTAGTCACTGCTCCAGCTCCAGTCCTCAGCATTGAGCCAAGCACAGAACAGGCACAAAAGAGGATAGCTGGGCCTTGGCACACAGGTTCTGTGAGACTGCTCATTGCCCTCTGTCTTGATGGTTTGCCCTCTTAAACCAGTGACTTCCCTTGGTAGCCTTTGCCCTCCTCAACAGAGCTCACAACTTCACTTGAAAGAAAGGCTGGGCTGATGGGTGATGTGAGTGCTGCCAGTTTGGGGATGCAAACCTTACACCTTCCTCACAAAAGGGCCTGGGTTAGATACTTTTCTCCTTGGGTCTAGTAAAGCAGCCTTGATTATAGTATTTCTTCATTTGTTTTCTCCATCCCAAAATTAGCAGCCCAACCTAAGACTGGAAATGTTAACGATTTGAATCAGCAAGTGTGGACTCTTCAGGGTCAGACCCTTGTATCACTTCCAAGGAGTAGCAGTGTGACTCCAGGTGAGTGGTCACTGTGCCTGCACCACCATTTGCACTGGTGTGGCTGGAAAGCTGGCACCAGCCTTTTGTAAAAGTGTGACTTTGCAATGGGGCCCACCTGAAGTGGGGAGAATTTCACACCTAATTGGGAAGAGAAGTCAGGGAGAAGTTTGTGTTCCACTAAGATGAAGAAGCCATAGATGGTGGAGGAGCCTCCCGGGGAATAGGAAAGATGCTTTCAGTCACCTGAAGCCCCATCTTTAGCTTGTTCTGCGTGACTTCAGGGGGTCCTAAAATGACTAAATGGGTGAATACCACAGGAAGGCAGATTTCAGCATCACATTGAGAAAAACTTGCAAAAAGGACCGAGCTCTCCAAGAATCAGAGGAGCTGCTTGGTGTAGGAGTTTCCCATCTCCATGTGCTCAGGCAGAGGCATGAGAATCTCAGGAGCAGACTCTGCTGTTTGCGTAGCTCTCTGTGTTTGCTCATTTACTAGGGCAGTGATTGGCACATGGTGTGAATGAATGAATAAATAAATGAATGAAATAGGACGGTTGGCCATTTGGTGGGTCTAGTTGGGATTACACTCTTCAGCTCTCTTCCAGACCCACTTACAGATACTGCCTTCTAAATCAAATAATCTCTGACTTCAAAAGGAAACTGACACCATCTCTCCTCTTACCTTTACAGTCATTGTCACTGCTGTCACATGCAAGTATGCAGAGGCTCTCGAGCAAGGCAAAGGGGATCCCATTTATTTGGGAATCCAGAATCCAGAAATGTGTCTGTATTGTGAGAAGGTGGGAGAACAGCCCACATTGCTGCTAAAAGTGAGTAACTAAGAAAAATATTTTAAAAGCCTTTTCTTTTAGAAGTGTTTGGTTGAATACCTAAGTTTAGAATTAAAAAAGAAATAGTCTTGTCTTCCTAAGCGTATTTATTCCCAGCTTCTTTTAAGTTATGTGTATGTAATAGACTTTTCTTTTTATCCTGGCTGTCAGAAGTTGAGGTCCTTGTCTTCCTTTCTTTCTTTTTTTTTTTTCCAAGCCAAACTGTATCCAACTTTATTAAAAATACTTTCCATAAACAATCATGGTATTTCAGGCAGGATATGGGCAGACAATGGTTAACAGTATGAAACTACTTTCAAACTCCCTTCTTCAGTGGACTACCAAAAATCAGAAAGCCACTATAAAACCCAATGAAGTCTTCATCTGATGTTCTGAACAGGGAAAGTTTAGAGTGAGGTCAACATTTCACATTTAGCATGTTGTTTAACAACTTTTCACGAGCCGACCCTAACTTTCAGGAAGTGAAATGAAAATGGCAGAATTTATTTGAAAATCCACAATCTAGAAATGGAACCACTGCTCTTTTGACAAGTGCCATCTTAGTGGCATCACTGGAAAGTCCAGATTGATTGACACACTGGTAACCAGTTATTGGGGGTCAGGTCCTAACAGATGTCTGGGCTTAAGGGAGTTAAGTCTATGCTGAAAGATGGAAAGGGAGAAGAGGGCATAAAAATGAATTTGTTTTTCCATACCACAAGGCTTTTGTGCCAAGGTGGCCATGTGTGTCAAAGTCAGAGAATCCCTCCTCCTGGGAGCCAAAAAGAAGTCTCTCAAAACTAGAAGGGAAAGGTGTTTTCCCCACATCGATCCAGCTTCAGAGACATTCTACTAGTGACATAAGCCCCTTTCCCCACAAAAAACAATGAAGTGTTCTATGTGGTAACAACATAGCTTTTTTAAAAAGTGTAACAAAATTCTGCCTTTTTATTAAACTTGATAAAAAATAGTATTTCAAACTGTACAGTCACCAGAAATACATAGTTATCAAAAATACACGTACTTCACCTGGCATCTCCAGCACCTTCAGCTTTCTGTGCCTGGTCTGTTTTGGCATCTCCATTTTCTGCAGGGTTATTCCCCTTGTTACCAGTATCAGCTTTTCCCTTCTCCCCATTTGGGTACCTTCTCTCCCTTATTTGCAGGGGCCTTTTAAGGCTTGGGCTCTGGCTCTGGAGGAGCAGGTTTAGCAGACAACCTTGTGGATCTTCTATGTGGTTTGTCCTTCACCTTGGCTTTATCTCCTTTAGCATCCTCTTCAGCCTTCCTCTTTGGCATGGTGGCAATGGCGGAGGGACGTAGGCGCTGGGCGCAGGATGCAGCGGTGTGCGGCTTTGGTTGATCCAGGGGTCATTCTCGTCTCTTCTTCTTCATACTGCTCTGTCTTCCTTAACTTTTGATATATTCTTGGCCATGATTTCTTCAAGTATATTCTCACCCTTATTTTCTTATTGGAATTCCTATTCATCCATCGTTGGAAGTTATGGATCTTACTTCAATATCCCATCTAATTTTTTATGCTTTCTATCCTTTCATTGCTTTTTAAAATTTTGGTGTTGCAGCTGGGAGAATTTCTTGCTTTGCTCTGCGAGCTCATGGTTACATTTTCAGTGTTGTTTCCTCTGGAAATCATCCTTGAACAGCATTTCCTGAAATTTAAACCTTTACTGTTTTAATTTTCAAGCTCTCTGGTTTGTTCTTTTATTTTTTTAATGACTGTTTGTTCTTGTTTTACAAACTTCAGTTTAATTCAATTTGATTCAACCCAATCCAATTCAATTCAGCAAATGTGCGGGCACTTCCTGGCCTCCAGCACTGTGGAGGTGCTTGAGATATATCTGTGCACAGAATGGCAAAGAGCCTTGATTACCCAGGGCTTTGATTCTAGTGAAAGGAGAAAAATGGCAAACAATAAATGTAATAGTAGGTATATTTGTGCTATGTTAGAGGTCTTTACTTCTCCTAGAAAAATAAAACTGGTTAGAGCAGGATAGAGACCAGCAGTACCAGGAACACAGGCAGGGTCAGGCTGCAGTGGTGAACAGTGCAGTAGGCATCCTTGCCTAGGTGAGATGTTAGCAGGGAGTAGAAAGAGCTAGAGAAGTTAGTCAGCAGGTGTCCGGTGAGGGCACGTCTCAGAACCAGTGAGGACAGGTGTGCAGAGTGAACAGAGGAAGGAGTGCAGAGTGAACTGAGGAAGGAGTCCAGAGAGATAAAGGCAGACATGAAAGCCTCGTTGTCCTTTGCAAGGACTCAGCCTTGCAATTTGAGTGAAATGTGAAATATTAAAATGTTTTGAACAGAGGAATGGCGTGAAGAGGCTTAGGTCTAAAAATGATTGCTCTGGATGCTCTTTGATTGCAGACTGTGGCAGGCAAAGGTGAAAGTCCTTCAGGGGACTTTGAGGTGATTGAGGTATGATTTGATGGACAAGGAGATAGCAGCAGAGATAGGGAGAAGCAGGTCAGATTCTGGAGGTATTTTAAGTGGAGGAAACAGGATTGTGAGTGTGACCAATAAGATCAGGACTGAGAATGACATTTTCTACTTTGTCCTGTCAGCTAAGTCACCCTTATGTTGTGCCTTTGTTCTCAGATGGGGACTAAGAATTGCAAAATTGCATTTGGCAAATGGGTGGGTCTTTGGGGACCTTGGTAGGAGCAGTGCTGTTGCTGTGGTGGGGGCAAAAGGTTGGATGGAGTAATTTTAAAGAAAGGAATTACGAGAAAGAAATCAGAGACAGTAAATATAGACAGTGATTGCAAGAAGTTTTCTGCAAAGGGGAACTGGCAGTGGTGGTGGGTAAGCAAACAAGTTATGTTGCTTAAGATGGTAAAAATGACAGCAAATATGCTGATGGGAATGACTGAGCAAAGCAAGCAAAATTGATGGAGCACAAGAGAGCAGGGAGAATGGCTAGAGGGATGTCCTTAAGTTGCAAGTGCAGATGGGACCTGTCACTCTGTCCTACTCAAGCAGGGAGGTGCGGGTATGGGTGCAGTGGGCTGGGAGCCCATGTTATGGGGTGGTTTGTGCAAGTTTTCTTCTAATTACTTCAATTTTCTCAGTGGGTAGGAAGTTGAAGGTGATGATGGAGGAGGTGTGGGAGCGTGAAATGAGGAAGCATTCTTCCATTTATTAAACAGCAAATCTCTATTCAGTAGAATGCTGGGGGCTTTCCTCTGTGTTGAGGAATACAGTGATGAACAAGTCTAACAATAATTCTGGGAATGATAAATAAATACACTACGTTTAGATTGCAATTGGTACTAATGAAGAAAGTAACTCAGGAATGTGATTGCAATGAGTGGGAGGGGAAATTCCAAACCTATTTTGGCTGGGATGGGATGTTCAGTGAAGCTCTCCCTGAGGAGGTGACATGAGTGATGGGGAGAAGCTGGCCATGGGAAGATGTGGGGGTGGTGTGAGGTGCAGGGAGAGTAAGTGCCAGAACCCTGGGTGGCAAAGAAGAAGACAGATGTGGTGGGGCAGAATGAACATGCAGGAGAGTGGGAAGAGGGCAGTGCAGCAGGTAGATAAGAGCTGGGTGGTGTAGACCCTGTGGGCTTTGCTGAGGAGTTTCATTTTAATAATGGAAAATCACGCAAAAGCGTATCGTAATCTTATTTATTTACTTCAGTTTAAAGTTCGGTTACCAGCCTTGTGGAGAATGATTACTAGAGAATAGAGTAAGTTCAAGTAGAACACTTAGAAGTTTGCCCTAATAGTCCAGGTGAGAGAATGATGGCCCGGTTTGGGGTTGACACTGTGTGTGGAGTGCAAGAGGTGACCCGATTCAGGAAATATTTGGAAATAGAGTCCATAGGCCTTGCTCCTGGGTTAGATGTTATGGAATTAAAAAAGAAAAGAAAAGAAAAGAAATGTCAAGAATGAGTCCTAGGTTTCTGTCCACCCAAAGAATCAGACTAACTGGAAGTCATTAAATGAGTAAAGGAATCCTATGGGAGAAGAACTTCCCACTCACAGTGGAATGTGGCTGAATTACAAATCATTTCTGTGTCTCTCTTGAGATCTTGAGCACATGTAATTTATTTAGAAATACTTATTTTACCTAAATACATAATGCATGTACATACAAATATACAGACATATAGAATATAGTTTTATATACAATATAGAAGGCATTTTCTGATTGCTCTATTTATTTTCCTCCTTTGACACAAATCCTTTGATTTGTTAGACCCTTTTGTGTCTTTTTCATTCGTGTTTATCTTTCTCATATATTTGACAATTAGTCAGAAATTCATAGCCTAACCTGGCTGTCCTTTGTCATACCAGTGGTTCTTGTAGGGTAGTGGCTCTTACTGTTGTGGTATTGGTAAGGGAGGTAATTTCCAACTTCTTCCTTTTCCGAAGGGTTCCCTCAGCCTCTTGTGTATGAAGAGTTCTAACTTGTTGTTCAAGTGTGGCTGCTTGTTCCTTAAACTCTTCCTTGTAAACTTCCCACACCCACTTCCAAGGGTGAGGGCTTGGAAGGTAACATTTCATGTATATTTATTCTGCTGCTCCTTTAAAATGCGTGTTTCTCTAGGTCTGATGGATAAGGTTTTCTGGAACTTTGGAATATTTATTGAATTATTTTGAATAACACTGAATATCTCAAACAGCTTCTGTTTCTTCTCATGGGTGCTTGTCCTCACATTTCAGGAGCAGAAGATCATGGATCTGTATGACCAACCCGAGCCCATGAAACACTTCCTTTTCTATCGTCTCAAGACTGGTAGGACCTCCACCCTTGAGTCTGTGGCCTTCCCGGGCTGGTTCATTGCCTCCTCCAGCAAAGACCAGCCCATTTTCCTGACTTCAGAACTTGGGAAGTCGCACAACACTGCCTTTGAATTAGATATAAATGACTGAACTTAGCCTAGAGGTGGCAGGTTTGTCTTTGTTTTAAAGTTTCTGGTTCCCAATGCGTTTTCTTCTACATTTTGTTGGTGTTATTTTTACACTGGTGCTAAGATGAGGGCAAGGCTGCTGTTATCTCATTTTATAATGAAGAAGAAGCAATTACTTCATAGCAACTGAAGAACAGGATGTGGGCTCAGAAGGAGGAAAGCTGGGTGGTATAAGGCTCGTCTCTCAAGCTGATGCTGCGTAGCTCACAAGGCATCTGCATTAGTGACTTCGAGACGCAAAAGACCAAACCACTGGGCTTTCTCCTGGGGGTGAGTATGAAGATGCTTCAGAGCTCATGTGTCTTACTCATGATGGCATGACTAGCATGGAGCTGATCTCTGTTTCTGTTTTGCTTTATTTCTTTTTGGGATAGATCATCCATAGTCTTTATATGTTGCCAGTATACCTCATTGTGCATAATAGAACCTTCTCAGCAGTAAGACCTTGTAAAGAAAAAGAATTCTTGTGTTAAGCTTTTGTCCTAATTGTAATCTGTGATCTTAAAGTTAAAAAAACTTTGTATATTTATATAACAATAAAGCTAAAACTGATATAAACAAAGAGTAAACTGAAATTAGCAAGAGTAGTTGAATAAAACCATCAC